AATCTTCGACATCGCTTTTCTTTTTATTGACCAGCGAGTTCCGTGAAATACGTACGTATGTCGTTATCACAGCAGTATTTTTCACCACCGTGGGCCATTGAACGCAGGTAAAAGCATGCGTCCGTCCCCGAGATGTTGTTTGTATTGCGTTTTTCATTTGTCTGTCCATCCCATACACACTACTCTTTTTCAACAAATTATCTGACTCTAAATTTAAAATAAAAATGGAATGAGCGAATGAAGACATTGTTGCTGACACGTAATCTCGTCCCTATAAACTTCGCTGCACGAAACTCGTGAAAATAACATATGTGTCTAAACATGACAGTCAGATTTCAGTCTCCACAGTTGACGACCAAATAGTGGCACACGGTTTTCCATCAATGTGCAAGCAGTAATTTTTTTTTTAAATCACATCGAGTGCGTTTTAAAGGGGCAGTTAAAAAAAATGTCGGATAGTTTTTCTTGTAGTGCCTATAAAAGATAAGTTTACGTACTGTGGTATCATAACATAGTACCGTTTTTTTATGCATATTTCACACCCTGAGTCGCTTTTGACGTTAAACCCCAAACAAGAAACCAAACATTTTTCTCCAGTATTATAACACAAAGCATATCAGATCACAAGACGTCGCTCGTTAAAAGCACGAATGGACGAAAACAAATGATCTCATCGATTTGGGAGGACCATTTTGCTTTCGCGAGTTAACGACCGTGGCGAGCTGAACATCACGTTCCGCCGATCGATGCCGGCTCTGAAGCACATTCCTCAAATATATCCGAAGGGCACACGTGTCGTGTGGATTTTTCTGTACATGACACTACAACCATCTTGGGAAGCGTCATGAGGAACAGGGCGGCGATAGAGGGCCGAAAACGAGTGCCGGCGATAAGCCTTTTCGAGGCTGGAACCTGCCACTCTCCTAACAACAAATCAACCAATCATAGGACGTACGCCAACGGCACTCACGTCACACCTTCGTTGCTTAGTTTGAAGAATAAAGCGAGTTTTTTTTTTCTTCTTTGTTCCCGAGATATTCAATTCTGACGAGGAGGCTTCCGCGTCATTTATCACATGCGATCACGAGGTCGCCAGCAACACTTGCGCTTCCCGCCTAAACCGGTGAAGCGATAGTAGTGAAGTTTATGGGTTTGTCGTGTGCGTGAGCCGCGCATTTGAGAGCACAGCTTCTAAGAGAGTTCAAAATGCTCGCGAATTTCCCCGGCGTTCCTTCCTCGTGCGATGCGATCCTTTCTTTAACTTATCACGCGAGAAATATATATCGCCATGCGAGCGAGAGCAAAGCCAGGAATTCATACCGCGACAAAGTTCAAAAAAACAATGAACTCTTACGAGAGACAGACCGCTTAAACTTTTATCGCGCTGAAGCGCGCAGCACGTGCCAGTGAAGCTCTTTTCGTTTGGGCCTGTGAAACTTCTCGACTTTGTCGAACAGTTTATGTGGGCCTTTATCGCATGGCCGTGCTAGCACATTGCTTTCTTTTTTGTTGTTGTAGTTGTTGTTGCTGCTGCTGCTGTTTTATGACTGAATTCTTTCGGAAACTTATGAGTTTGGAATTTCGCCTCACCAGCGAACTTGCGAAATTTTATTGAAGCATGGTATTCGGTATTAGAAGAAAGGTTAGTATTCTCATTCGCGAACAAATTTACGCTTTTCTTTCGGATGCCTTTGACATTTTGAAAGCATATTGCTGGCGTCGCCACATATGGTTATTCTTTACAAAAAATTAGTTCTACCTTATAGTTACGCGAACCCTAGTTACGACAAACCTACATGGTAGCCGGCGTGAACTGCACTTCACGCTGGCCAAGTGCGGTTGCCAAGCGCAGTTGCAGATAACCACAGTTATCTGCAACAACACTTGGCACGCGAGAAAAGCTGTAGTCGGTTTAGCGCTTTGGAGCAGGTCATGTCATGATCAACTTCGTGAACAAGAATTTAACGGCCTAGCTAATTTTCGTACATACCCGAGTGACGTAACCACTATACCACCGCGGCAAACTAAGAGTACTCCTACTCATAACACAAATAGCAAGCTCACACTATCTACACGATTACTGAAAGAATGCAGATATTATGGCTGTACTAAATGCTACACTATATAAAAATGTTTACGGGTCATGGCTGGACACAGGAACTCACACGCCATAGCACTCTTTCAATGAAAACGCGATCTTTTTTCTCTTTGTCAAGCCGTTCAACCAATCCCATGACAACGAGAATTATACCTATAATGTACGCACGCAAACTCCAAATATGTTTGTATTACGTGTACATGCAGGGAACATCTATACTGGAGAAGTGTTCGCACGGGATGACACATGGTTGATTGATTGATTGATTTATTTATTGATTGATTGATTGATTGATTGATTTGTGGGGTTTAACGTCCCAAAACCACCATTTGATTGTGAGAGACGCCGTAGTGGAGGGCTCCGGAAATTTTGACCACCTGGGGTTCTTTAACGTGCACCCGAATCTGAGTACACGGGCCTACAACATTTCCGCCTCCATCGGAAATGCAGCCGCCACAGCCGGGAATCGAACCCGCAACCTGCGGGTCAGCAGCCGAGTACCTTAGCCACTAGACCACCGCGGCGGGGCAGGGTGACACATGGTGACAAAGCGTCTGCGTTTTGACAAAAGTCTTTTACAGAAAGATACGGACGTCCTCCCTATATACGTTTCCGAGAGGGTTGAGCCTTTGTAGCCAAGATATTTGTGCCTCTTTGGAGTCTCGATATCACGGATGAGCAACGCATGAGCAATTTCAACACGATGAACCAAATCAGCGTCTCGCAATCGGCAATCAGGAAGTGCCCCTCGGCGGCTAATATATTCCTCGAGAAAGTCAAGCTCGTATCGTATGAGGAATTTGAAGAGAGGTACATTATCTCGTTCTCAGCCCGCACCTCCTGCATGTAAGTTTCTTTTTACCAACATCAACGAGGGAGCTGACCGCGTCGGACGACGGTCTCATTTATCGCGGTCGCGAAGGAACTTCCCCCGAGGTAACGAGCTGGGAGGCCTGCTAAGGAGGGCAAATTGGTCGAGATTTTGCGGCATCGCCCAATTCAGCCAAAAGATGAGATGCAGATTTCCGCCCCGCGTAGTTCCCCGTTAAATGGCCGGGGGCGAAGTCTCATTGCACCCTCCCCCCCCCCCTCTTTCCACCTTATAAGTTGGTCGAGTTCGAAGGAAAATCTTGGGAATGGTGGTACTTTGGGATAGGAGTTACTGGAAGCATGCCATATCAAGAGTAAGGGCACAGAGCGTATTAGCGGTATATCCACTCATTTGTTCGGCGACGAGTTCAGATTTTTCAGATCGATGCATGATTATCTATGCTACGGCTGCGAGCATGCGTTTTAGGTGATCTGTCTTTTACCTGGTTTTCCCGAAATAAAGCCAGTTGATGTTCAGCGCTTGCCTTGTGCCCTGTCTTCTTCTCTTCTCGGCTAGTTCTTTCTTTTACTCCTGTTAGCGCTAAAGAATATGACGCCTGCCATGGGAACAAGCTTCGTAGTGGAGGCAAAAATGAAAATGAAGCAGTGAAATGCTTCCCACAACGAATTGCCCGGCTTCCCGGGGGTGAAGATGGGAAGTAAACAGCTCTTTAAATGCAACATCAGCGGTCCACGAATGCCGTTATCGTCAAAGACTAGAGCACAACCATAACCCTGCTTTTTAAAAAATGACGGGGCGGTATGAGGCGTGCATAAACTGTGTTATGTGTGTTAATCCTTGTGCACTCACAAGTAGGCCGGCGATACTTCGGCTTATTTCATCGAGCACTTAATTTTTTTAATTCCTCCTAATCGGGCAACACTGGCGCACTCACAAGCTGCGTCGTAACAAACACCTAACCGTGCGAACGTCTGCATTCCCGGCAAACGATTGATTGATTGATTAATTGATTGATTGATTGATTTGTGGAATTTAACGTCCCAAAACCACCATTTGATTATGAGAGACGCCGTAGTGGAGGGCTCCGGAAATTTTGACCACCTGGGGTTCTTTAACGTGCACCCAAATCTGAGCACACGGGCCTACAACATTTCCGCCTCCATCGGAAATGCAGCCGCCGCAGCCGGGAATCGAACCCGCGACCTGCGGGTCAGCAGCCGAGTACTTTAGCCACTAGACCACCGCGGTGGGGCTCCCGGCAAACGATATCATTCAGTTTACATATGTGCGTCATATCGAGATAGCCTATAGCTTCATTCAGCTTGGCACTGAAATCGAACGATCTGCAGCGGCTGAAACTTTGGTAGAAGACGACGGGCTCCGCTCCTCACCCAACGTCACACGCGCACTGTCGAAATGGCGGTCACCGGTGGTGAGTGGGGTTAACAGCCGACGACTACTAGGGCTTGTTTTCCACGAAAATATTCTTTTACGGCCCACTTTGCATATCCGCGTAGACATAATTAGAACCCCTATTTCCAAATTGCACTAAAAACCACATATATTTGCGCGACCGTGTCATGACCCCTTTAATAGGGTCATTACCCGTGTATCGCGGAAGGAAGTAAAGTTAAATCTAAGGGCTTGTTTTCTTCGTTAAATACAATACAAATGAAAACTAACAGACAATGGTGCCAAGGAAAGTATAGAATATGTTATTAGAAATTATTGTAATGCAAATGTGACGAAAGGAAACTGGACGAGAAGATAACTTGCCCCTTGCAGAAACCGAACCTGCCACCTTTGAATTCAAAGGTCGCAGGTTCGGTTTCTGCAAGGGGCAAGTCATCTTTTCGCCCACTTTTCTTTATTCACATTTATATTACCACTACTTCTAATAACATCCCCTGTACCTTCCTTGGCACCGTTGTCTGTTAGTTTTTATTCATACCGTGTACTGTGGGTATATTAGTAACGTCTTTGATAGCAAGGAAGAGATACCTCTTCCTTCTCCTGAATGTTGGCGAGGGTTAAGAAGCTATAAGAGCTCTTAAATCAAATCGCACGCAGACGCTTTCGCTGGCCGGATCCCTGGCTGCCTTTCTACGAATTTTGGTGGCCTCGAGCGACAGTCGCATCATTCCTGACTACCAAGGAACAGTGAAAGGTCAGTGACCCTCCGCTTTGACACTGTGGCTGCACGATATTCTCTACTACCGAGTTCAAGGTTGTGTTTTCAATCCTCGGTCACGACAGCCGCGCTTACTTTTAGTGGGGGCAATACGTAAGAGTGTTCTCGTACTTGCGTACGAGCACGTTGACTTCGAAAATTTGAGCCGGAAGAAATTAATCCACAACAGCGTCCCTGTAAACATAGTAGCATGCAGGTATAAGTGGGCAAACTTGGAAATCGCGTATACGCAATCGCCTTTCGCGTAAATAGCCTCACTTTATGCTCGCGTAATTGCACTACGCTTGCGTCGTTTTGTATTTCTTCTGCGTTGTCTCAAGCACTCAACTGATAGAATCTTCTTTATATAAAGAATTCACTAACGACTGATTGTACCTTAAAGGGCCTACAACATGTCCGCCTCCATCTGTGGGAAATGCAGTTGCCGCCCGCAGCGTGCTATTAGACTCCCACGCCAAAAAGGTGCAAGCCGTGACGTATCAGCAGAACCTGCACACGGCTTCAACGTATGCCACCTTGTGTTTTCCGTTAAAATAAACGCAGAAGTCATTAAGCGTCGTCAGTAAACTTTACAAAAATGTCGCTTTTTATTATGTTGCTGACCAACAAGTAGCAGTAACTTGTCGCCTCATGGTTATAAGTGAATATATCGTAATTTTAATATATATGCGCTTAGTACATAACAATAAAGAAAAAAACAAAGAATGACTCAGTCACTTGAGAAACTCTAGAATATAGCTGTGTCCGAGTAATTGCTGATGTGACGAAGCTTAATCTCCTGCTCCGATATGCATGGGTGTGTGCAGGATTTTTTTCTAAAGGGATTGGGAAGAGGCGTTGCCGATGTTCATGCCGATATGTGACCGGTTTCATGCACATAACATGCCTGATGCCACAAGGACTGACAGAGCACTGTTACCTCTTTGCACTAAAATTGAAATACAATGCTTAGTATCGAATACAAACCCAGCATCAAGCAACGCAGACAACGTACTTTAAGCATTATATAGGTCATGGCAATTTCAAAACGAAGAGTCTACGTATTGTGTACACAGCACATCGACAACACTTTAAGAGACATCAAAGCTACCGCGTCTGCAAGTTGTAGTAATTATAATGTCTGCACCTTCTCGGGAACTAGGGAACTACAATAGCAGTGTCCAAGCAATAGCTCAGGGAACTGCTATTGTACGTAACTTATACTTTACTCAAAATAGGAAATTCGGGCTTCTTAGAATCACGTGCTCTGCACTGAATTTAGTTGGGTGTGTAGCATTGAAGAAGGCAAGACTAAGAACTGGGCGAAGCTGATGTTCTGACTCATTGTCCTTCAATTTCGAAAACATGTTAAAAAATTAAAAACATTAGGAAAAACTCACGTACCAAGTTTTCGGCGTTGTGGCATGATAATAAATAAACATGGCAATCCTGCGAACAGAATTATAAATATGATTCAATTGAGAAGTCTAAAACTATTTAACCCAGAGTTATTTTGCACCATTATAAAATGGACTGCCAATGTTCTGGTACGTCCATACTTTACAGTATGGCGATACCAATTCATTACACGAAGTTAGAAATATGTAAACATTGCGCTTCATTTTTTTTTTTTTACGTTGCGAGGCAGTTTCACACTGATCTGTAGCATTGATGTATATAAGGGCCTAAATAGAAATTTCGATTGTTCGGAGTTAGAATTTCAATTTTTTCTACTCGATCGAATTTTATTCCATTTGGTCAACTCGGTGTATTTGGATAGGGAAATCTCATTCGGTTGTGGGAATGGGGCTTCAAGGGCACCGAGCTGAAAATTAGCCTTGCAAAATGAAGAGCCTTCCTCACGGGCACCGTCTCTTACCGTTCCCTTTTATTAGTATGTCACTTTTTCTTCTTGTCTCGTTTTTATGCAGTTTCCTTCCTATAAGCTTGTCATTCTACCAGCACCGCCTTAATATATTCGCTTTTACGAGTCTTTTTCAGAATTGTTTTGCCCTCTTCTTTACGGGCTGATATCGCCGTTCTTTTATCGTTAGTTCTATGCAGACGGTCTTCATTGCCTTCTTGTCGACCAAGTCACCGTCTCTTCTCATTACACGGGCAAACTTCCGGGGCGCTCCTTCGTTCAGTCTGTGCTCCGAGCTCCGCTACCTTGATCGATCCTCTGATCTCTGCCAATGTTTATCCCGATAGGGAATGATTCTTCTCATCACTCTTCATGTACATTCTTCACATCGTATTAACAACTTATTTTTTTTTTTCTATTAAGGCGAAGGCCTCAGATGCCTTATTGAATACTGATTGTCGGTGCAAACGCGAGTGATGCAAAAATATTCATAGCGTGATTACGTCACCATACGATGTCACCATGGCGTCATAAATCACCATCATTTATGACGTCAACAAAGCGTGACGTTACATGACGATGTCGTCATCATGACATTGTCGCTTGGTAAGAGGTGGGCCGATTACGAAGGCCGTGCCAAACCAGGTGGCATACTAAAAGCTTGCATTGTCTTTGATCTCGGAGGCAATGCGAAATGACGTCAGGTGAAGAAAGCTTTCGTAGAAGGGTCGGGGCAGGATTCGAATGAGAAGAAAAACAGGATTGATTTCGCCTTAGAGTAATCTTAGAAATATGCATAAAGGAACCTGCAATTTTTCTTTTGTTTGGGCTATGCAGCTCTAACATGATGGCTAAGACACGTAACTAAGCCCGCCGTTTGCATGGAATCGAAAACAAGATCAAGTTGCAATTAACTATTGGCATAATTATCTCACCTCACTATCACCTTGCAATCGAAACATGACGCCATTCCTATCAGGCCTTCCACCTCATTCCAATTTTTCTTCTTTTTTGCGTGTGCTTTTGTTGCGTGGGAAAGAAGACATCGGCTGTCTCCACTGAACAAGGCCTATACGACATATAGTGTGTGCCGTCTATTTATCACCATGGACAGGTGCGCTCATCCTGTTCGGCAGCTCTGCGCCTATATGCGTGCCTGTCCATGATGATAAGTGGATGGCACGCACTGTACCGTCGTGAAGGCTCGCACATTAAAGAACACCAGATGGCCAAAGTTTCCTAAGTGATCCACTCCTCAGCGTCCCTATAGGAATAGTGTCGTTGTTCTGGGCACGTAAAACCATGACAATCATCATTGTTTACAGCAGACGGTGATGACATTAACTGGCGCAGGTTACTCCAGCTCTCCTTCCAGCGCACAACAAAAAAAGCACATAAAAGGATTGAAAATAGACATAATCACAAGACACAGACCACGAAACATCTGCCGTGTCTTATGAACGTGAAAATAAAAGCGCTTATTGTACTCGCACAATTTAGAAAAAAGTAGATAAATTCGGCGAAAAGTGTGCAAACCCGCGTACGTGAACGCTGCAGATTTCTTCAAAACAAAAAAAAAATGAACAACATATAAACATCAGTCATGACTCATTCTTTATGTGTAATTTAAACGGTAACACACTGTAAAATCGGACCCACGAATGCTCAGTGTACGTCCGGTATTTTTATTGAACTCTACGCAAACGCTTTCCCAGTACGCGTTCGCAAAAGTAATAAACATGTGGCAACTTTAACAATACGCTTAGGATACATGTGCACGTGACTTTCGACCAGATTCACATTTGACGTGTGACAATTCTGCGTTTTTTTATTCTTAGCATCAGTGTATGCGTGCTTTAATGCCAACTGTGAGCTCAACAAAAGGCTATAGGCCTTGAGCAATTCCCGCGGACGCTTTGAACATGCAAGTAACGAAAACGGAAAGGAGTGCGAGGTCGTGGGTTCACTCGTTGGGTGCAGCTCGGTAATCGGACTGGAGATTGGGCATGAACAAATGATAGTAAGATTTCTTTTTTCTCCCGCTGTGGCACACATTAAAAAAAAAAAAAACATCAGGACCACGCGGGAAGCGCGCAGCACATTCACAGCGACAGCTGCAAGAACTGCATTTTGCCCGTTGTAAATTCTTGCTCTTGTTCTTGTTCCCCTATTGATCGTGGAACATGCCCACTATGGGGGATTGGCTAAGAAACAAGTGGTTTTAAAAATTGTTGTTCAGATTCAGAGTAATGGAGATATAATAAAAAGATTACCCGTAACCTAGGAGAACGTAGTGTTTAATCTAATGCACACAATTATTTAAATAAAATACTCCTTTTAACTCATTTTAAACACCTTTTGGCTCCTGATAGAAATACACTTGCAAGGTACCCACTATGGCATAACTCAAATTTTTGTCAACTTGGGAAACACCCACTACGCCATTATCCATAATTCTTCGGAGAAGTGAGGTACCCACTACGAATTTGCAAGGCATTGTGTGCGCCTGGTTGCTGCGGTGGTAGATAATCACAAAGAAGAATTTTGGAATTTCGGCTGAGCCCTTTATAATGGGTTGTAAGCATTCAACGTACCACACGGTACACAATTCGTATTGTGTGACGCACGGTCGTTATATTACTGTCCTGCCACACTATATTGCATACGTTAACGTGAGAAAAAGATAACTTAATTGAGGTCCTGAGAACACTGATCACGGGGGTCCTTATGGGCTCCCTTGGCGACTAACACAAATACACTTTCGAAGTAAGCACTATGCAATAATGGTCATATGTTTTGTGAAGAGGAGCATCGAATGTGTCTTTAATTGTAATTCTGGGAGAAGTGCATGGGGTACCTGCAACACAGCTTTAGGCGTTATGTGGGCTTTGATGCTGCGACTATAATGTGAATGGAGAATTATTGCTGAGCCTTTCGTAATGGGTTGGAAGCATTCAACGACCCACTGGTAACTCAATTCGTATCGTATGACGCCTGGTAACACAATTTGCATTGCGTGACACCCAGTAGGCGTTATTTTACTCTTCTACCACGCTATAGTACACATGTTAACGACATTCCTTCCCTACGTGAAGCCTGTATACGGTCTTTTGCATGACTCTGGGGTAGAACAGCAGGCTGCCACGGAGAAGGCCCTGGTTCGAATCCAGTTCCGTCCTGGATATTTTTGCTTATTCAGTTTTTTTTTATATTAGTTTGCGCGATAATGGTTACGGACACCGGTGGCGGTGGCATCAAACAGCCACGGCACCAGAAATGGCCATTGTAGTGATCCCATAACAGCTTTCGCTGCAAACGTGAATAGTAGAAAGCTGACCGCTGACTCGCGTTAGAAGTGTCCGCTACCAAATATTGTAAAATCGAAAAAAGAAAGAGAAAGAAAAGAGAGAGAGAAACAGAAGAAAAGACAGAAGAAGGATAGAGAAACAGAAAGAAGAAAAAGAAAGAGATAGAGAGAGATAAACCGAAATATAGAAAGAAGGCTAGAAAGAAGTAAAGAAGTAAAATAACGAAAGTAAGTAAGAAATGCAAGGCGGAATATCATTATTTTTATTCCGGTATAGAGTACTTTGAACTTCATGGTTGAAGATGTAAGCACAGATATTAGCAGAAAAATTTATTTACGGTTTATATTTGTGGATCCTTGCAGCAATATACATCTCCTCTACGTTATTTTTAACGACTGAACAAAAATTAGCAAACCATGTAGCAACATGTCAACGCCTCCAAACGTTTTTTTTTTTTTTTTTTTGTTAATTTAGCAAAAGCCACTTACCAACCTTGAGAGAGAAAGACAACCCGTTTCAGAAGTTCTCTGTTTCTTTTTCTCCTCTTTCGCAGTGAATACAATGTTATTCCTCTTTCCTGGTATATACTGTCTCTTGAGAACTTCTACCTGTATCCTTCTCATCTGGGGATCGAAGATCGTAAGTACGCATAGAAGTGTTAGCTACCATTTGATTGTGTGCATAATGATCGTACCACTTTGATCTCATGTATACAGTGTACTTTTTTGCAGCCTCTTTCACCTTCCTTTGGCCACATTTCTATTTTCTTTTTTTAGTACTCCTTTTTGCATTCAGTCACGTTGTCACACGGTATTACGACGAAATCAAATTAAGTAAAGCATGAAGGCTCAATCTGTGCAACACTGCAAAAGAGACGTGAACCAGGTTCTCCACAAACTAACGACAGTTGCAGTCTTGAGGTCAGTGACCTCTCAATTTCACACCTTCTCGAAAACTTTTGCGGACTGTTTTCAACCAAGGACGCCAGAGACGTAGCAGAAATTTTTACTCGAGAGAAGGAGAAATATAAACTCTCCCCCACACTCCACTTTGTATGTTTGAGCATGTGTCCGTACTTGTGCGCTTGTATAGGCACATTCAAAGTTTGGCAATTTCGGAGGGAAGGGGGTTCAGAACACTCAAATCTCCTTCCTGGCTACGCCACTGAAGGTCAAGTCCAGCGCAGACATTCAGGACGTCCGTCTTGTCTGCAGCGGGTGCCCACTGTAGTTTAGGATCCTTCACTTTGTAACTTTCCTCTGGCCAGCGCTGTGTTGCGCCATGGCACGCAAGAAACATGACTTTGGCGACGTGTGCTTGTATACGGTGCGATGAAATAAAGCTCAGTTTACTGGCCTGAGCTTAAGTCCATACTGTTACGGAGTGTTGCAACATCCGGATGAAAGTGGTCATTGTAAACAGCACTCGTATCGCGCGTCCCATTCGATGGCGCAGACGCCGCCTGTCAAGTAGGGCAAAACAAAACACATCCGGTAACACTTCTGATATGTCAGCTAACCTTAACGATGCAACACCCCTCGCGAAACTGCAAGGCTTGCGACCCGCGTATATCATGCGTCTATAAGTTGCGGTACATTTCCGTTTCGCAGTTGCGTGCAAACTGAGATAGCGTCATCAAAGAATGGCAGAAAAAAAAAGTGTTGACGTTGTGAGGAGAACGCAGCGTACAGGGGAGGATGCAGACACTGATAAAAGCCGTGTCCGAAAGGTCCGTTCTGTGACGCACCTCTGTCGCCACCTTTGTGCATATGAAATCATTGAAGAAGGGGCAGTTTGTAACGCGACCTCTAGGTGTTACATACCAAGCGCTCTGCGGGCATAGGCTTACTGGCAAGTTTTTTCAGCCCTCGATCGTATACGAAAAAAAATAGGGGACCCTAAAGCTTCGCCTTCGGGAGTTGAACGCGATAGCGACATCCTTTTCCTAGTGCGTATACTTCAAGCACTTAGTGCATGAAACCTTTTCGAATTTGTTATGCACCCACTGGCCTTAAGAGAATTGGTGCAGTAGCGTGTGTGCCTTTTGTAGTGGGGTACCGGCTTTGAACCACGTAGCCATTATGGTAATAAGATATTCTGACACCCGTTGCCAGTGGACGTTTGTACCACGCATTCTTACTGCAATATTTCATGTTGCATTGTGAAGCATGCATACAGGACGTGTGTGTTTGTGGAGCATGTGTGACGTCCCCGCAAACACGGACTGAACCCCGCTCCTTTCGAGATGTGTGCGCTCGTTTCTCAAACCCACGCATAAAGGGCATTCCGGAGTTAAGTACCAGAAGGATTATTTCTACTATTTTCACGGGCTCCCCCGCCCAAACACGAGGACCGGACGGCGCCTTGTCGTCTGCAGACCGTGTGACAGCGTACGGTGGAGATAATCGGCGCGCTCCCTTCAGATCTGTGGCATGGGCGAGCAGCAGAACACCTTTTGTTGGTTCGGGGAATGCGACCTTTGCGGCAAGCGACTGTGCCGGGTCCAGTATGCCTTTCCGTCAACCTCCGTGGCTCCAGGGCTTATTACTGCGTTCTGCGCGGATGGCCGCCCGCGGCGGTGAACGACGAAGAAGCGGCGGCTACGGAGAATTTGGCGGGAGACACCGAGCTGCATGAAAACGTTGAGACTTGGTCTAGACATCGGCCCGCCAAGTGCCGAAAGCATCGGGGCCATTGTTCGCCCGTAATTAAAGTGTCTTCGGTCGGCTCACCCATCACTCTCCCTGAGGCTTGAGTTTGTACATCGTTACTTGCTCGGCTTTGTTTGGGAGAGGGTTTTCCACTGGTGTAGGCCGCGGGGGCGGCCGCCGAAGAGGATACACTCGGACTGAGAAGAAAAGATATGCCGCGTGGAGTGGCGGACTGGTTTGGTGCCCCGGTAGGGCGGAGTCGGGTCCTACAAAAAGGGGACTACGAGACAGCTTGGGAACCCCGGGATACGATGTGAAGAGTCGGTGAGAGACGGAGCGTTGAGATTGAGATGGTAGAAAGACGGAATGGAAAAGGAAGATAACGGTGCGAAGAGATAGCAATGAGAATCGATGAGATTATGACTGAGGCAGAGATGATATGACGAGGAATGAAAGTTAGAGATGAGAAACGAGGAAGCGAGTGATTGTGGGACGTTATGAAAGAAGATTAGGATGGAAATCGCCGAGAGAGACGATGAAGACGACGAAGACGATGAAGACTGACAAGACGGACCATTCGTGAGACGAACTTTATGCACCCTATTTAGATTAGCTTTGCGGGAAGGGAGGTGGCCTGTTGAGACATTGCGTGGTTTTATTCATTGATAACTTTGTCAATTGTGTCGTCGTGTGTTTATTCTGTATTATTCTGTATTCTGTCACCATTACTTAACTTATGTATCCTGTTTTGCATGTCGCGAGTATTTGCTGATGTGTTACCATTTCGTGTAACAGAGATGTCGTTTACGGACAGTATGTGTGTACGCCATTTGCACTTGCCATTAAATTAAATGAATCAGTAAAGAGAAACAGGTCGTAGCGACTCTTACTTCCCGGCCCCAGCACGAATCCCTGTATGTGGAAAGTGATTGAGACACGTAGCCAAGAGGGAACCGGATAGAAAAAGGGTTGAGTGTTCTTCCCTCTCTTTGGCGATCGGTGGCGTAGCGGGGGACGTCTCACATGCAAGCTACTTTCACTTCATTTCTAAGCATAGGAAGTTTTTAGGGGCGAAGCTCCTTATAGCGTGGTTTGTGCGTCCCTCGTAGTACGTAACCACCAGTGGCACATACTTGAAATAGCGGTCCTTACGATTTTGACCTCCAAGGTGGTTCCGGTGAGAGATTTCTTCTGTGCGTTGTTGAACAATAAAAGATAGTGCTCAATGCACATGTTAATGGTTGCTAAGGGGGAATGAGAGACAGGAGCATTCGGCCTTTAGGTAACGCGCACGCTGCGATCCCCATTAGCAAGCTATTGGCATGTACATTGAGCACGATCTGACAAGAAAGGGTTGCTACGCTATACTCGCTGGGTGTAACCTCCTTGGTTTTAGAAAGGTTTAGCGAGCGTTGGGCCGCATAGCCATGAATACAGTGAACTAGTATATACCATGAACTCGAGGTGGTTAAAGGTGGGAAGTAAACCCGAAGCGCAAGCCGTAAGAAAGTGTGCATGTGCCACCTCCTGTTTAGTCCTTGAAATGTCCGCTGGATGGCGGTGCTTCTATATGGAGAATATATGATGAAAGGATGCGAGATGGTGGTACTTGGAGTGCTGAATAGATGGACGAACGGACACACAGACAGATGCATGGATGGACGCATGAAGGGACGCAGGCGCGGATGCATGGACGAACGCAGGGACGGACGCACGAACAGACGCACGCACGGACGGGTGGATGGACGCATGGACGGTTACACAGACGTACGCAGGAACGGACGGAAGCAAGAACGAATGGACGGACGAATGCTTCGCCCCACTCCCCATCATTCACTCCGTGGATATGCTGCCATTTTTTTTTTACTGTTTTTGCACGCAGAGGCATGGCCAAGTGGTAGGACATGCGCTTGCCACGCAAAAGACCCGGATTCGATCTCCACTTGGAGCCAAACAACCCTGGTTGGGTCCACAATCTGCTTCTGGATTTAACGCACAGAGTCGCAGAAAGCGCTATCTGTCCACTCTGTCCTTTTTTTTTTTTTAGCGCGTGAACAATATGTTCACGCGCTAAAAAAGCTTGCCAGTATGACTACGCACCAACTAGCCCAAGCTTCCACTATTGTAAATGGAATAGGCTGTTTGTCCCATTACTGCGATGTACTGTCTGCAAGCGGTTCGTTATCTGTTTCTTCATCCCGAGTAGTTGCCGTTCCCCTCTCTCTCTCTCTCTCTCTCTCTCTCTCTCTATGTCATTTTTCAGCAAATGTTACGGCATATTCAATATTTCAGAGGAATATGATTGCTTTTGAGGTCACGTGGAACAACTTTGAGGCTAAAATCAGCGAAAAAAATCAAAGCATATCCGCGGAGTGAAGGATGATGCGTGGGGCGAAGCGTCCGTCAACGCGTCTATGCTTCCGTCCGTGAGTTCGTTCTCGCTTCCGTCCGTCCGCGCGACGATCCGTGCGTCCGTCCGTCTGTCCATGCGTCCGTACGTTCATGCGTCCATCCATCCGTCCGTCCGTCTTCTAGTCTGTCTGTCTGTCCGTCCGTCCGTGCGTCCATCTAGTGAACCAAGTACAGCCATCTCGCATCCCCTGAGGCACATACCCATTCCGTGCGTCCATCCATTCGTCCGTCCGTCTGCTAGTCTGTCTGTCCGTCCGTCCGTGTGTCAATCTAGTGAACACTCCAAGTACCGCCATCTCGCATCCCGGTGGCTACGTACGACAACGACGAAAGATGGACAGACCCACGCCTTAAGGAGCTTCGCCCCTAAAAAAGATATTGCGGATTCGTTTGCGGTGATAGATGTCTATCATTGTATCGCTGATAGTAACGCATATAGCTGCCGCCCTGTATGTCACAAATTTAGGTGCTTCCTGAGCACTCTAAAACCAACAGCGGGATGTGCCCATATGCTGTCACGTGGTGATAATTGACTGCAGGATCCTCACAATTAGAATGGACTTGTGACGAAATTTCGCTAGCTTCGCGTCCGCATTAACCAACAAACCCACGCATCCTCATATAATTTAAAGTAACAACTGACAAAGGTATCGGCAGGGCAAGGTTGAATGTTCAAAAAAATCTTGTCGAGCTTCGCATGAGTATACCGGAGGACTTTGTATCCCACCATCTACATTTGCGATCAAAACATACACTGCAAATATACCAGTGAAGTGTGATTAGGGTAGCTAGCACATTGCCTTAAAAAATCAACTTGGAATGTTTTAATTGCTTCAGCATTTCATCAAAAAACATCTATGTATGTGTGTCAACATCACGTGAACCAACAGCGGTAAGTCCGCACACGCCACAGGTGAATGGCGTTCATCTATAGTCTCTTGCAAGGGTGTAAGCCTACATGTTTTTTTATATATACTTTCGCACAAATTTTGAAATAGTTTTTAAATTATTCGACTTTGAGAAAAGAAGGGTTTATCTTGTTTTTGTGTGACTTCAGTTGCACTGTGAAGACCAAAGTTCTGTAAAATGGGTTGTCGCTGCGGAGTCTACATTTGTGAACGCCAGGCAAACCGAGTTCGTGTAAAAACCTGATAGAACACACTGCCGCATGGTAGTAGGATCCGCTTCGTTTCCGGGAGGCTCTGCACAAAACAATATCGATATATATAACTCAATGTACCTTTAATAAGTTATATTTAGAACGTATTTACCTTATTCAGGACGCGGACTTAGTGTTGAAGATATGCCATAATTTACGAGCTGACTACGGGAAGCGTATGTCCCAATATGGAAAGCACCGATAGTTAGCGCGTTGAAGCACAGCCATCAACAAGGAAAGGCCTCTATGCTGATGGCGATGATGAAATCATTTACTTTGAACATAACCATAAAGGCATTGGTAATGTTGGTCAATGACAATGAAGGTGATGAAGCATAGGTTCAAGTAGAGCTAAGCAAATGGGCCTTGAATGATGATAATAATGGTGATGATAAACGTCAAGATTAACGCTTTGATGATGGCGATGATGCACGATGATTATAAAACTGTTAGTGCAAATTCGTTAGCAAGCGGTCCCCATGATCGTTTATGATGATTATGATGATATTAATGCTGAATGCGTTGAACTGATGTTGAAGGTGTTGTTTATGGATAAGAAGTGATTATGCATTGATAATTAATACATTAAAACAGAGCCGTCGGCAAGCAAAGTTTCTGTCTATACAATTCCCGCCGTCCACATATGTGGGTGGACTCTTCTTCTAGAAATAAAGCTAAATTTTCCGGGTTTCAGGTCTACCTCCACTTTCGTACGTATTGTAACTGGATGCGCGCAAAAAATATATATATATTTAGTTGCGAAACTGGAATGCACATGGGATGACAAAGGGTTAAGAACTGCAACGTCGATACGACAAGCACCCGTATAGCCACCGCATGGCTCGTGCAGCCGAGCTCGAGGTTTTGAGCACGACACCGCGTTTATGGCCGGGCTTCGAAGGCGTGTAATGAGGAAGCGCTTGTGTAAACGCTGGTGTACATTTGTGTACACGTAATATAATAAGAGAACCGCAGTATATAGGTGAAAGTGTAGTCCGCCGTCTACGGTGTGTCACAAGATCATACAATCAACGTGTGCGAAAAATATATATATACGAAACGTTGTCCGCGTGCCCGTCGTCACGATGTCCAAACTCAGATCAATAGACCGTGGCCCTTTGACCCTGCCTCCCGAGTACCATCTCTCTTGTGCGCTGGCTCTCCGAGGTGAGCGAATAATGACATCCTGACCGGCCATGGCTCAGTGCTCGTCAGAAATGGGTAGAAAAGATGCTGCATATACACCTTTTCACAGGAAGGAAAAAAAAACACCGCCATGATGGGCTGTGCGCGGGAGTACAAAGGCTAAGGGCGCAGCGTTGTCAGTGCACTTTCGAGGGGACGCGCCAATTTGCACAGCCCAAGGAGGGCTAATGGCGGCGGCCAGGGAGGCGTTTATGAAAAGGACAATAGACAGCTCCTCCACTATCCTGTGTCAGAAGAAACGCTTGTTTGTTTATTGTTGTTGTTTATTCGTGCCCCCTTTTTTTTCAGTTTAATGATGTTACCTCTTCCTCTCTCCCGGATACAGGAGCGTGCCCAGCTCGTGCTTCCCTGGATAGTCACGGGAATCGTTGACCTGGTGCTCTGCGTTGTCGGCATGGTCGTGCTTGGAATCGCAGCTGTAAGCATCGCGGCCCATGTCATCCCGTTTCGCCACGCCGCTTAGCGGCGCGGAGTGATACGAAAATGTTTGTTAGAGGACCAGCCCACACTAACGGATTACACTCAAGGAGAGAAGCATATAAAGTTGGGTTCCACCTACAATCCAAGCTTTGATTACATGCATGGAAACGTGAAGTCACACGAAAAGAAGAAAATGTGAGTGGCAGTATCCCTATAGCTGTTCGCACCGACCCATAAAATGGAACCCACTTTTTTTTTTCTTCCCCGAGCTGCACCTCTTGGTGTTTTGGTAGGGTTTTTGTAAGGCCAAAACCACTATGGTATCGTCCCAAACGGAGGCGTCCGAGATGAAGGGGCGTTTCGCGACTTTCCACCTAGGGGCAAGGTGCATGCGCCGTGGCATCTTGAAAAATAACAGAGGAATGTAAAATATATAAAGAACATATGGCGCTTAGCGTTCCATATGTTCGAAACGGTTATTATTACCACATGTGCACGCGGGGGATTGACGCTTTGTCAGGCTTTCTTTGCCTTTACGCCGATCCCCTGGGAAAATATGTGTACTGGTTTTCTGAAATAAATATTGAAATATTAGGCCGAACAGTACAGAGCTACGATTTAATTTTGACCACCTGCACTTGTTTATTGCGCACCCAAGGGCTCCAAATGTGTCCCTAAAGCTACAGGGGCGTCGCCAGATATTCATTTCTGAGGCGGAGGACCCCTCCCCACTCATTAATGTGCGTTCTTGCGTGAGTTATACATAAAATCGTAAGGCAGCTCCACTATACCGCGAAACATACGAGTAAGTGCTTCGCACGGGAACCCAGCGATTGCCGTTCGTATACAGTACCCACTGCTGTGTTTACTGAAGCGTCACGCCAATGTTTGAGGTAAGCATGTAGGGTGTCCCCGGCACGAGTTAGGATGATTCGCAAAACTCGGTGTATGACCTGTGCACTACCTTTAACGCGATAGCGTTAGAGAGCTCGTGTCGCAGAAATTCCGCCGTCAGCGTCGGCCCCGTGGGTTGTGAGCGAAAAATCGTCCGTTAGCAAAAAATCGAGAAAGAAGCAAATAAACAAAGATTTAAATTTTTTGCTACATTTTATAGCCTTCCTGCTTGTTATGACAGTTGAGATATGAGTTGCTTGCAACGAGTTCTTCCAGTTTGTTTCCCCATCCGATGCAGTCACATAGCAACACAACGCCGACGCCCATGGGGCACAGGCGGAGCAGGGGGCGGGCCTTAGCTTGATCAGCGAGTTGGTGGCGCTCTCTCTTGCTACCTGTCGGAGCCGGCCCCGAGTTTCCGCGACGTTTTAGTAACATTATGTTAATTAATGCAATTATATCTTAGCTATATTTCTGTTAATTATATTACCTTTTAGACTTTCGTTCATTTTAAGCCAGGTTTGAGCATTGCTTGCCTTGTGAGGGCGTTTATTGGGCGCTTACTGAAACTAGAGTGGCTATTGAAACTAACGGGAGACTAGACCGCAGCGCCACCGTCGACATCCGGTACGATCTAGTGCCGGGTGAGAGGGGTTAACGCCACTCCCGCTCTCCCAGTGCCGAAGGATGGGAGAAAGCCCAATGGCGGCGGGCGCCTCAATCCGCACAACCTAAGCGTATTTTCTTCCCAGCTCATCTCCCTGTCACTATAGCCACCATCGCTATCAAATGGTCCAGAGACATCACATGCAGTGCGTACATTACATGAGTCCATGCTCCTATATACCACTATTAGTTTCCTCGTTTTTTTTCCCTTCCTCTCTGCGGTCTAAAATTTACGCTTCACACCTTGACGCAGACGCAGAATGGTGCCCAGATCTTCGGACAAGACAATGCCGAGTGGTTCGCCGGTGGAGCTGGGCTCTGCGCTTTGCTTTTCATCTTAATGGTGTGAAAACTTTCTGAAATGATTTACCGATAGAAATAGGTACGTCGTTGCAGACATCTCCGTTAACACTGCTGACGAAAAGAGTCCTACCTCGTTATATCAAACTATGTCTTCAGTACTATTCTGTTTTCTAGATTAGCGCATCCCGAATCAATGTAACGCTAATGAGAATGTGGAAATTCGTCGAGTAAACGGTACAGCAGAGTTATATTTCGGACTAATAAGCATTTTCATTGCGTCCACAATTCACGCCTCGGCCAAAAACAATCGTCCTAGTAGCAAAACCACCAACACCTGTCTCGAATAGCGAGCTCCATGAAAGAAACAAATCAGAGAAATAATAATACAGAACGGTACCCAAAAATCAACAATACGGAAAAGAAAAAAAACATAATAGCACACTGAAACCAGTTCAAATATCATGTATTGGCTTGATATTTGAACTGGTTTCAGTGTGCTATTATGTTTTTTTCTTTTCCGTATTGTTAATTTTTGGGTACCGTTCTGTATTATTATTTTATTTTTCGCTGCAGAACTTTGTGATATAAAGTAGCCAAGGCAATAGGCACCTCAACCTCTCTACAGCAAAACAGTTAAAACAGAACAGAACAGAACAGCGTCTCAGAAACGGGGATTGATGATGATTTTAAGAATGTGTACTCTCAATAATAATAATAATAATAATAATAATACATTTATTCTCGTTGTAGGCAGTGTTATACTGGCCCAGAAATAGCTGGGAAGGACTTCACTATGACATTTTGACGTGCCATACGTCAGCCCAAGCATTCCTCGAATGTACAATCAATGTAATTCCACTGTGAATACAGGTTTCATCTTTCGTGTCCCCGCTGAGGCCTGGAGTCATTGCCAAAACTTTTGACAACATAATATTACAAGCAACAAAGTCTCATCGGAAATCATGGCTGCCACTTAAGAGCGTGTCACACGGCCCCCATCATGTGTCAGAAATGTGCAGCGCCACCACGCTGTGGTGTCATGCCGCCGTGTTAGATCGAAAATACTCGGTCACGAGCGTGTTATCTGAAATGTCTTTCTGATTTATTCTTTCAGGTGTACTTTGTGATCTGCGTGATGTCATACTTCGAAGACCTTCTCAAGAAACCCAATACAAGTAAGGACCGCCACGCGCTTTATGATATGTGATTCTGCTTTGTTTAATAGCGATACTTTTCACGTATATGCTTTCCTTTCCCAGTACTGTTTTATTTTTATTTTTCCTTTCACTTTACCGCAAACCACACGGTAAGCTCCCGAACACGTTTTGAAACAGGTTGAAATAAGAGCTGCAGGTACTTGACAATGCATTCTGTTGTACCATAGCACCCGATTCTCCTACCCCCTGCCCCGTATATATATGTGTGTATGTTGTATTCGCGCGTTTATATATATATATATATATATATATATATATATATATATATATATATATATATATATATATGCATTCAATCAGCAAAATTATGAGCGTAGGGGGTCTATCCAACATGTGTTTTTTTTTCATAGGGACGGGGGAGGTGAGAGGGGCGCACTTTTACCGCAGCATTCGGACGAGTTCTACAGAAAGGAAACTTCGCGGGGAATGACAAAAAAAAGTTAAACCTTCTCCCCGAAAGGAACCATGGTGTGATGCGGAGCATCGCGGTTGTGTAGCGCAATCGGTCTTTTCAATCAAGAAACTCGCTAGCAAACGCTGCCTGCGTCGGCTAGCTAGGCACCGCGGGGAGGAGTACCTAAAGGAGAGGTTTGTGCAGCAGACGCTCCCTGCGTCTGCGTTGCGAGGCAGGAGTGAGGGAGCGTAGAAGAGGAGAGGGAAACGCACATGCGTAATGAGGGAGCAAGCGCAAGCTCGTGTCAGGAGAGAAGTGGAGATAGTGACGCGCAGCTGTTGGTGAGAGGAAAGGAGGAGAGTCACGCATGCGTACTGCGAGTACGGATGCCGGTTGACGCGTGACATACCCGCGAGCAAGAGATGCTCGGCATCTAGAAGTGAACACGAAACAGCGAAGTGCTGCTGTTTGCCTTCGGTCCCCGGCTTGACAGGGGTGAAAGTGCGAATTAAACCGTTCTTCGAGTGCAACATCCAAAAACAGTTCTTAGGATGTTGCATCCAAGAAACCGTTATTATCGTCACAAACCCGCATTGTTACAACCCTGCACATCAAACTACTTGGACACGTTCTACTAAGTAATGGTAATAGGCAGGCTTAGCGCGACCCCGTTAGTTGATTGGGCGGGCGAAGGGAGCCTTCTCTGTACTGCCCGCTTACCTGTACATTTATTCTCCATGCCTTATCTGTGCTCTGGGTTTAATTAGCACGCAGAAGATGTAGGTGCATATTTCATAAATGCGGAAGGGATAAAACAAATCGCAAGGAAGCTCTGCTGATACGACATTCATATATCAATCGTGGATCCTACCTATTAAACTGCAACCTAATTTGAAGGACCACTAAATTGAAATAATGAATCTGTTTTTATCCGAACTGTGCTCCGAGAGCTTCTATGGTTTCATTTTTGTTTAAATTTTGCGCCGATATCACCACACGTAATATCACGGATTTCAAAGCGTGCCTCAGTGAAGTGACCTCTTAGGAACTACGCTGTACCAGCAGATGACGTCACCATTTCTTACTTCATGACGACTGGTGCATCGCTACCCGCAGTTTCATTTTGCACGTCTTCTCGCTTGCCAAGAATCTTCCTGCGGCTAGCGTGGTGATTTTGTTAGAGTTATACAATAGTTAACTATTTACGGGAACAATCCATTACATCTTTAAAGTGTTCTGAAGATATACTTTACTAGTATAAACTAATGTCACCACCACACTGCGGCGCCAGCTAACTTGTGTCCTTTTCTCTTCACGTAGACTTCTTCAAGAGTTCCAGGTGGAACTCAGTGATGCACGAATGGGGCCACAAGGAGGCCTCGGTCGGCGCCACCGTGAACACGGCCTTTGAGTCGGCCTGAACTGTGCAGACTGCTTGCACGCTGTGGGAATCTCATGTGGCGGAGGGACGCAGGCTGCCACGAAATATCGTCCATCGTTTGTCAACCTCGACCCTTGCAGATTGTTGAATGCGGGAGGTCGCGCATGCGTTTTTTTAAATAAGTATAATGAAAGGCATTCTTCACAACCATCACATGGCTCCTTCCGTCAACTGAACGTGGGCTGAAAAGGCACTGATCGAATTCAGGTGCCGAGTTCGATTCCCAACGCCGCCGAACACCCGAGCCGCCAAGCTGTACCACAGCCCATAAAGTTTCATACAATATGGGGAAACTCAGCCCCAGCCTGGCACTCGTGTCTTGAGAAGGGCCTCTATCCTGTCCTTTATCTTGCCCCCACACGACACAAAGTCCCTTTACAACGACACTGAGCTGCATGTGCACCCTCCCGAGTTGCAGAAACTTGTCAACAACACACACATTTAGTCACCACAAACAGAGGAATTTTGTGACGACCAGCGGTGAACGGAGTCATTGCGCGCTATTCTCTGTGTATCCACCTTGTGGATTATCCACTTCGGCCTCCACTTTCTGGCTGGAGCTCGGAGAGCAGCGATCCCTATTTGCGGCCCCTTTTTCCCAACGTCATTTTGAGTTCACGCTTTCACAACTCTTAACACCGATGAGCAAAACGGAATGAGTTTCACCTTAACGAACGCGCTCCCTAGACATGTTTTTGGATGCATATCTCAGATGCCGTGCATGAACTCTTACCACGTCGAATGAGGTTTGATGCGACCACCAGCTTAACGCACCTGGAACGTAGTAGGTGCGCATTTTCCTGCATCGTACTGAAACATCTGAGCACGTTCATGCTCAAGGCTATATGCTCGTCAAAGTTTGTTTACGTGTCCTGTTACTGTACGTTTCGTCCACTTCCTTTATTTTTAAATGACGCCTGACAGCGAAGGTTTTGTTGCGACTTTGTTTACTGTAATTTGTAGCTTTGCGTCTTGCTGAAATCGAATCGTAAATACTCTCACGCATCGTATAATTAATGCTAGCATCGCTATTTCAGAACGACTTCGCGTCAGTTCGTACACCCACTTAAATAGTATAAGAATTAGCGCCCCACAGCGGGGCAGCGCGTCAGACAACGCGAGCTCAACCATCGGTGACGCTGAACGCACCGTTTTCAAATAGGGGACCCGCGGACGGTGAAAAATGAAACGATGTGGATATGGTGGCTACAAGATATATTGCGGGTGCATCCAGCGGGTCTCCCTCAAAAAAAAAAAAAAAAAAAGACAGGCTTTCATGGTGTACGCAGCAAAACCCACCTTGTGAACAGTCCGACAACAGATCAAGAGAGTTAGGTGCCAGTCGGGGTATGTTGCGTGCCCCGTAAATGTTTTCTTACGTCGGCAGTACTTGCTTGACCTCTGCAATGTCCAGAGGGGGCCCGCTGCCTACCTCAAACCACAGCAAATGTCGATTGCATTCTTGAAAACCAATTCTCTCTCTCTCTCTCTCTCTCTCTCTATATATATATATATATATATATATATATATATATATATATATATATATATATATATATATATATATATATTGTAACGGGGTTTATTTGCAGAGCAGAACGCAGAAGGCGAAGCAGTCAGCAGCGTCCGGCCAAGTGCAGCAAGCACGAACTTATGCTGATGGCGATGCCCCTGAGGCCCCTCTTCTTCACTACAATATATATATATATATATATATATATATATATATATATATATATATATATATATATATATATATATATATATATATATATATATATATATATATATATATATATATATATATATATAAGGGAAAGAAGTGTATACCTAAGGGCTCGTTTTTCCGTGTTTTTAACACAATATAATGAGATCTAACAGACAGTAATGCCAAGGAATGTACAGGGGAAGTTATTAGAGCCAATGGAATGTAAATAAGAAGAAAGAAAAGTGGATGAAAAAATAACCAGCTGTGAGCAGGAATCGAACCTACGACCTTCGAATAGAGCATCGAACGCCTTATATATATATATATATATATATATATATATATATTATATATATATATATATATATATATATATATATATATATATATATATATATATATATATATATATTGTAAGACAGTACGACAGGTGACGACCAAGGGCTTGAGGAGGGGCGGATGATGTTTTGCTTGAGCATATCAGCAACGTGCTTGTCGATGATCTCGCGTTCGCTGGAAGAAACACGGTACGCCGAAACAGCTGCACTTCCTTCAGGATCAGCAGAGGACATTGCCACATTTTTTTTTTTTTTTGGAGGCAATCTTTCTAAGACATGGTGCACCACGCATCTTATTGAGCGATCGCGGCAAGGCGTTTCTCTCGAAACTACTCGAACAAGTCCTCCACGCATGTAATACAATTCATAAGACGACATCCAGCTACCATCCCCAGACTACCGGCCTCACAGAGCGCTTCCATCGAACTTTCACCGACATGATATCTATGTATATCAACGCCGACCACACCAACTGGGATAACATCCTGCCATTCGTGATTTTTGCGTACAATACCGCTACGCAGCGCACCACGGGCTATTCCCCATTCTTTCTCGTCTATGGCCGTCAACCAACATCTCCGCTGGACACCTCTTTTTTGACGTCCCTGTGAACTCGTCATCGTCATCGAGGGAGCACTTAATCTCTCGCCTGGCCGACTGTCGCCGACGCGCCCACCTCAATACACAGGCAAGCCAACAAGAGCGGAAGACTCGCTACAATGGCGTCCACCGCGTAGTTCACTTCAATACTGGCGACGAAGTACTGTTGTGGACCCCAACGCGGGTTCCCGGCCTGTGTGATAAGTTTCACTCACGTTCCATCGGCCCCTACGCTATAGGCGAGCAGACGTCTCCTGTTAACTATCGAGTAACCCCTGTTGCCATGCCTTCCAACGGCCGTTTTCGTGGTACGGAGGTTGTTCACGTGTCGCACTTAAAATCATTCGTGCGCCGTACACCACCGTCATAAACAGCGGCCTAATTGGCCGCTTCCGCGCGAAGGGAAATTAGTGTAAGCACAATATTGACAACGTTTGACCTTCATCTTCTTCATCTGTATATAATCATCATCACGAAAAACGTCGCCTTCGTTCGAAGGGTTGATCAGGAGATTCGGCCTAATAAACACCGCTCGAGACTCCAACGCTGCTACTGTCTTATAATATATATATATATAATAT